TATTGATTAATCCTGATATAAGATTATTACTGAGATTTTTTCTCCCTACTGTTTATTGATGTTAAATTTCATTTTTTTGCTTTGATTGAAACTTTTCCATTTCATAAGCTCACAAGCTATATGACATCTCTCTTTATACATATCAATGAAGCACCGGAATTTAATTTTGAAGCATTCTAGTCTGTTTTTCTTACTTTTATAGTGAGAATTCAAAGATTCTTATAATTCATCAGCTAAATCTACAAAATCTCATCTCTTGTTTCTAAATATTTTGAACAGATAAAACAAAGTAATTTCAAAACACAAAGAAATTTTTTTAAAGTCTTTTTTTCTAAGCTTCCCTGGGAAGTGAAGCACAAAGAAATTAGACTAGCACAAGTAAACAGGCATATGTATTGAAATGAGTGAAATTAATGATGAGTTAGTAACTACAATGCATCATATGTGTTTCCTGCTGACAGCAGTATTGGATGAGGACTCAAAGCTGAAATCTTACACTACTTTGAAAAGCATGGCATCTAGCAAAATACTTAGCACATAATTGTTGAATTTGATTAAATCGACTAAATTTAAAGCAATTAGATAAGAAAACATCAGTCTTTCAGCTGAACCTCAAAACATAACATGTTGGAGAGGGGAACCCAAGAAAATCAAATAACTTTTGAAGAAAACAGGTTTTTTTTTTTTTTCAGTGCTAAGATAAGTTTTTAAAGAAGTTCTTAATTTCGAAGTACTTACAATTAAGAAATAGGTTCCGAGCAGGAAATGTCTCGTAGCCTGGGAGAGAATCTCACCAAAAGTGAAAGCTGCAAGAAAGGAGAGGTAACTATGTTTCTGTGGCAATATACGGCACAAAGAACAATTTCAGAGGCTTTCATTGGCCAGTGTAATCCAGGCAGAGCTGGCTTTCAACCTCTTATCTTGAGAATGACAATATCTCTTGCCAAGTACGGTGAGTTCCTTTTCCTGTTGTCTCAGGAATACTCATACATCTTTGCGGGGAGGGGAGATTTGATTCATTACATGGTCTGATTGTTTTTACATTTCTGGCAGAGCTTACTGATTTTTTTTTTTTTTTTT